GATGAATTGGTGGATGGATGGATGGATGGATGAATTGGTGGATGGATGGTTGGATGGATGGATTGTTTACAGTTTCTTTTCCTTGTGTCCCACGATTACAGCTCTGATGTCATGGTTTTTCCTCCTCCTGGACTCACTCAGGGCTCCGGATCCTATTGGACAGCTCCATCAGGGCTGCAGGGGTCTCTAAACCAACATCATCCCAACTGGACCCACCTGCCTCCTTCCTGCCCCAAACTGAGCCTTCTCCTAATTGATTTTACCCTGGAGTTTATGTCATCGACCTCATCCAGGGGCCAGAGCCGGGGACCTCAGGGTCATCCTTATCCTTCTTACCCCTGACCCTGCAATTCAGCTGGACATCTTTGATTTAGCTGCGAGTCCTTTACCCCTCTTCATCCCCCTTTCTCCAACTTTCCTAGCGCCACGGTTCCCCCACCCCAAAGTGCTGTCTCTGCACTCTGAAGTCACCACTGAATACCATATACCATCACAACAACGGGAGCATGTAACATGTCTGCAACGTGCCATCTTCACGTAATGTTTCATCTTGTTGAGTGAGTACACCTATGCCTGACTCAGCATTGGGGTGTACTGTCTGGCTTACTCAGCACCCTGTATGTGTGCATTGAGCTGCCTCCAATTCTCATAATTAATGCTGCCAGAAGCATTCATTGCCCATGTACCTTGTATTCCTGCAGGAAACATATATGTTCAATATATTATACACATAATACGTGTATGTGCTGCACACACATATATAAATATATGTATGTGTACATACCTATGTGCAATATAATTTGTACATATTCCTTTGTATATCTGTGGGGAATAATTCTATGGGATGAATTACCACCAGTGGAATTGCTGAATCAAAGAGAATGTGGGCACATTAAAAATGGTAATTAGGGGCGCCTGGGTGGCTCAGTCGTTGGGCGTCTGCCTTCAGCCGGCTCAGGTCATGATCCCAGGGTCCGGGGATGGAGTCCCTCATCGGGCTTCCTGCTCAGCTGGGAGCCTGCTTCACCCTCCCACTCCCCCTGCTTGTGTTCCCTCTCTAGCTGTCTCTCTCTCTCTGTCAAATAAATAAGTAAAATCTTTAAAAAAAATTTTTTTAAATGGTAATTATTATAGACCCTGTTGAATTTCCTTTCTAACATCAGGGTAATTAACACAGCCAACACCAGTAGAGGAGAGAGTGAATTTCCTGTACTGCCTCCAGCTCATGGTGTGGCTACTCTAAAGACAACAGAATACTCTTTTCTTTTTATCTTGCTGCTTTAGAACGAGTCAGGCACTTGTTGAGTTAAAAGTTCTGGGACAGATGGGGAACTTTCTAAGAAGAGAATGAGCTGCATTGGGTGGATTTCGTAAATAGGGTAACGTTCATGGGAAACCACTGGACGTGTCTTTGCTGAGGATGGATGAGGGATTAAGTAAGTGACCCTTAAGACCTTGGCTTCGGACCAGACCAGAGGATTAATGTGGCAGAGCTCTCTCCAGTGTTCATTAGGGTGGCGGCTACGCCACCTGGTGGAAAGGAGTTGTTTTGAGTAAAGGTTTCAGAGGCATGGATTTATGAGGTAGAGGGATGGAGAGAGGGATGGCTGGGTGTCTAGTTTGTTTGACGGGGGGATGGAGAAGTGGGTGAGTGGCGGATGGTGGAGGAGTGGATAGATGGGTGGATGGATGGTTGGATAGATGGGTAGATTTGTGGATGGTGGGTGGGTGGAGGGTGCATGGAGGGATTGAGTAGGTAGGTGGGGGGGATGAGTGAATATACACATGGATGGATGGGGAAAAGGATGAATAGGTGGATAAATGGATGAATACATAGGGGGTTGGAGAGATGGGTAGACGGAGGGAGATAGATAGTAGATGGATAAGTAGATGCATAGGTATTCATATATGCATACATTTATAGATCTACACATTTACATCCTCAAGCACTTTCCTTGTAGGAACAGATTAATGGAATCTCCAAATCTGGGTCAAAGTGAAAGATATCAGTGGAGGGGAGGAGGTTTCTAGCTTGGAGGGAAGTAATCTAGACGGAAGCCAGAACTGGATTAGTTCTGCATTTAGACCAGTTGGCTGGTCTCAGTTCTTGTGGTGCCTCCTTGAATGCCTACATTTAGAAAGGGACCGGGTCCCTCTCTGTGTCAGCCCTAATCAGTTAAATGAAGATGATGAGGTCATGGTAGACTACAGAGAGCTCTAACCCAACATGACTGGTGTCCTAATGAGAAATGGAGACATAGAGAGACACACACGGAGGGAAGGTGTTTGTGTGGTGACAGACATTGGAATGACGGGGCCACAAGCAAGGAACAGCAAGGATTTCGGGCAACCACCAGGAGCTGGGAGAGAAGCTTGGAGCAAACCTGTTTTTAGAGCTTTCCAAGGAACCAACCCTGCTGACACCTTGATTTCAGACTTCTGGTCTCCAGAACTAGAGAGGATGAATCTTTCTTATTCAAGTCCTCCCCTCCACATGCACCATATGTGATAAATACGTGATAGACACATTTTAAAACATTTCACAGTTTCTGTTAAGTCTGGAGTCCAGGCATGAGATAACTGGGTCTCTGCTCAGGGACTCACCAGGCTGAAAGCAAGGTGTCGGCAAGCAGTAGGGGGGGTCTCCTTTGAGACTTAGGGCTCTCTTACAAGCTAACTGGTTATTAGCAGAATTCAGTTCTCTGAGATTGGAGCAGTGACACCTTCACCTCCTAGGGGCCACCCACTAATTCCTGCCAAATGATCTTCTCCATAAGGCAGTTTGCTTCTTATTCCAGGCAACCAGGCTGTATGTCTGCTGCCTCAAACCTTGTGCCCTTCTTAATTCTGACTTCTACACCTGATTAGGCCAGGCCCACCCAGGATTAATTTTCCTTTTATTAGCTTGAATGACCTGATTCTGGACTTTGATTTCGACTGCAGAATTCCTTCATCTTTGCCACAGAATCCTGGGAGCAAATCCCATCATCCTCCCAGCCTTCATTCACACTCTGTGAGAGTGATTTACACAGCTATGCCCAGGCCATACTAGATTAGGGCTGCAGATATTAGGGACTCTGTTTTCCTATTTTTGAGATGCATCCAGAAGAGGAATATCTTGCTCAAACGTGTAAAAGGATTTTCCTTGAGCGTTTTTGAAATTATTATGACCACCTCTTAGATGTGCAGGTTCTGAAAGAGTATCTCATTACTTTGCTTTGCAAATGCTTCAGACCAGCAGAGTGGAAAAACAGTTTCCAAATTTAACAGTTCCCCAGGGAAACGCGCCATCGCCTTGCAAGCAGCCTTGGGGACAGGGTTTTAATGAGAACCCCAAAAACCTCTCTGTTTCCAAGACAAAGGGGAAATTAAATAAAGATGGCAATGATGCACATCCTACCAAGAAGCCTGCCTGGGTTCAAAGAGTGGTCCCATTCCTGAGACACCCCAGACTGTTCCCTCCTTGTCAGGAGCTCATGATCATATTTGCTTTGATGGGTGGCTTATTAACAGGACAACGTGACTCACACGTAGAAGACACTCAGACAACATGACTCATACATAGCCGACACCCAGATACCCAGGACCCCACGTGACACCAGGGTCCCCTCACCCACTCCTGCCCCCTCTGAAGTTAATGTTTTGGCACCTTTTGTTGAACAACACAGGATCTGTGTTCTGCCACCCTGGATTTTCACTTTGTAGACTTGTGACATAATTTTTTTTTTTTTAAGATTTTATTTATTTCCTTGAGAGAGAAAGTGCCAGAGTGCGTGAGGAGGGGGTTGGAGCAGAGGGAGAGGAAAGACGGAGAGGGACAAGCAGTTGCCCCTTTGAGCCTGGGGGTGGGGGCTCGATCCTATGACCCTGAGATCATGACACCAGCCGAAATCAAGAGTCCCCGAGATCATGACACCAGCTGAAATCAAGAGTCCCTGAGATCATGAGACCAGCCGAAATCAAGAGTCCCTGAAATTATGACACCTGCTGAAATCAAGAATCTGAGGCTTAACCGACTGAGCCGCCAGGCGCCCCTGGACTTATAATATATTTGGGGCATCAGAAACACATGCCTTACGCAACATCTGCCATAATGTGGGAGCTTAGCAAATTGTAACATGCTAATTTATAATTACGTTATGTAACTATACCTATCTTATTTAAAAACTATTATTACATATTACATGTAAAACGTATTTTATGTGGTTACTTACATTTTATGCATTTTAAAATTAACGATATCGGGGCGCCTGGGTGGCTCAGTCGTTAAGCGTCTGCCTTCAGCTCAGGTCATGATCCCAGGGTCCTGGGACCGAGCCCCGCATCGGGCTCCCTGCTCGGCGGGAAGCCTGCTTCTCCCTCTCCCACTCCCCCTGCTTGTGTTCCCTCTCTCG